CAATACTGATGATCGCAGCGCGCGGCGAAAGTCCAGTGTGGGAGGATGACCTAAGCGGGGACTTGTCACACACCCACTACTCCGCAAACCGACAGCCAAATTCAAGTCTACGGTTCAACTCGTAGAACATGGCACATCTCGCAACACGTGGGAATAAGAAAAAAGCGCCAGGGCAACTAGTCCACTTCTCAAGAAGTGCAAAAACTCCGCTGATAAGGACGTGGTTCACTCACCACAAACTCCTTCTCCCTACGCCTAGGCGAAGACCATCCATTTCCAGTAGTAAATGCCTCCAGTTGAGAACAAAATTAAGGAAACGGCGCAGGTAAGGCGGACATAATACAAGGTGGTTTTCTCGTCACTCATGCGTCATGAGAGGTCGAGCGATGTCTCGGTATGTTCTGACGCATAATGTCAATGTGTCACTGAGCTGTATACACATACTGGCCAAGCGCTCTCTGCACCACTGCAACAGGTAGAGTAGGTGCGGTAGTCATGGAGTTTGGGTATACCAGTTTGCGTCTCCAACGATGGCCTTTCAGATTTTACTTTCACGCTGCTGGAAAACCAAAAAGACCAGAAAGGTATGGAAAACGTGGTAACAAAATGTTTTTTCTAACGAAATCTCGTTTGAAAAAGTTCCTGATCATACAGAAGGTTCAGACGAAGATCACCACGTGAAAGTTAAACACGGCATGCACATTTTTGTCATAATAGAGATTCGAATGACAAAACTTTTTTTCATCTTTGTTGGGGACATTGTGATCTCTTGCATGTAGGTATTTGATCTTGTGTTGTACTAGGTCTGCCTGGTTTGACTTGATCTTTTGACCAGGCAGAGGAGTATATAAACGGGTTATTTTCTATGTTGATATACTACTGTCTTCCAATAAATATTCTACTGCTGCCTCATCTCAAGGACACAACAACTGGCGATCAGGACAAGGACTTCGAGGACCACACCGCCGCCACAATGATGTCAGAAGAAGCCAAGGAATACCATGCCTGGAAATCGGTCAAGGATGACTCCAGAATCGTCGAAGCTGCCAATTCACAAGAAATCCATACTGTCCAGAAGAGGAGAAAGCACCGTCTGCCTCGCCCAACCAAATCATCACTGCCACCCTCACCGTGTCCAATCTGTCAGCAGCAACATTGGAAGAAGGACTGTCCAGAAAACCGCCACGCTACCAGTGCCACCCAGGAGTCAAGGACTGCGCCACGACGTCGCATCAAGCAGTCATCACCGCGCACCTGGTACCAACGCGTCATCGGCCGTCCAGGAGATGTCCAGAAGTACCTGGAAGTTCACATCAACGGACATCCCACCCGCCTCCAGTTGGACACCGGCGCCGACGTCACCATCATTTCTCGTCCAACTTGGATGCAGCTCGGAAGCCCTCACCTACAGAAGACCTCCGACGTCTTCAAAGGAGCCAATGGATCCCCACTACCAATTCACGGAAGCTTCGAAGCCGCTTTCGTGGTCATGGACAATCGAGGAAAGGCTCATCCCGGACATGGCACCTGCTATGTCTCCGACGACAACGACCTTCTCGGCATCACATGGATCGAGCAGATTCCAGACTTTCGACACCATGTTATTTGAGGAGATTTCAACGTGCAGAAGGTTCGAACACTGAACAACGAGGCCCTCCGAGAGACCAAACGATCGCCAAGCTGAAGCACCAATTCATGGATGTCTTCGAGCCCGGACTTGGATACTGCACCAAGACCAAGGCGACACTCTACCTCAAGCCCGATGCTCGCCCAGTCTTCATCAAGAAGAGACCGGTTCCCTACGCCTCCATACCGCTTGCGTTCGACGCCGAGATCGACCGTCTCATGGCACAGGACGTCATCTCCGCCGTCGATCACTCTCGATGGGCTGCGCCAATCGTCGTTGTGAGAAAGGCCAATGGTACCATTCGACTTTGCGCCGATTTCTCGACGGGACTCAACGACGCATTGCTGTTGCATAGGCATCCACTACCCACCGCGGAGGATGTTTTCACAAAGCTCAATGGCGGAACCGTCTTTTCACAAATCGACTTCGCCGACGCTTATCTACAGGTCGAAGTCGATGACGACTCCAGAGAGCTCCTCACCATCAACACGCACAGAGGACTCTACAGATACAATCGTCTACCGTTCGGAGTCAAGTCAGCTCCTGGCATCTTCCAGCAGATCATCGACTCCATGATCGCTGGACTCAACGGCGTTGCTGCCTACCTCGACGACGTCATCGTCACCGGCCGCACTCTCTCCGAGCACAACGCCAACCTGGAAGCCCTATTTTCAAGGATATCCGACTACGGCTTCCGCACCGTACCGCATCGACAAGTGCCATTTCGCTTGATGACACAGTACCTATCTCTGAACGACATCACTGTGCCGGACGCCGACCCGTCCATAAGATAAAGATCGACGCTTATCCTCAAGATGCAAACCGAAGGCATACTGCGCCCAGGTCCGGTCATTCCTCACGACGCACTGGAACTCCACAAAGCTACAAATATCAATCACTACGGAGCATTCGTTCCAGAGATGCGCCAGCTCCGTGCACCGCTCGACGCACTACTCAAGAAGGAAGCTCCGTTTAACTGGAACTCTGAATGCGAAGCCGCTTTCGAACGCGCCAAGGAAGTGCTCGCTTCGGACCTGCTCCTAGCTCACTACGACCCCAAGTTGCCCATCATCGTCGCGGCCGACGCTTCAGACTATGGGATTGGAGCAGTTATTTCTCATCGCTATCAAGACGGAACTGAGAAAGCTGTCTACCATGCCAGCCGCTCTCTCACCACGGCGGAGAAGAATTATGGCCAAGTGGAAAAAGAAGGTCTGGCGCTCGTATACGCCGTCCGGAAATTCCATCGCTATATCTACGGGCGCCGCTTCACCTTGCTAACGGACCACAAGCCACTTCTGGCAATATTCGGATCAAAGAAGGGAGTTCCGGCCTACTCCGCGAACCGACTGCAACGATGGAGACTTACAATGCTCGCCTACGACTTCGACATCGAGTACCGAAACACTGCTAGCTTCGGACAAGCCGACGCACTGTCTCGTCTCATCGCCATGCAATCGCCACCAGAAGAAGACGTTATCATTGCCAGTATCACCAAAGACGTGAACGCCATCTTCGCCGAGAACGTGAGCCGCTTACCAGTCACTGCCAAGGAGGTTGCCCACGCAACAGCTGCAGACGACTGTCTCCGTCAAGTCATGGACCATATCGCCCACAACAGCTGGCCGAAGAGACCATCGCCAACAGTTGCGAGATACGCCCACCTACGCAACGAACTCTCGGCACAACAAGGATGCCTGCTCTTCGGAAGCCGCATCGTCATACCGCCATCACTCCAGCCGTCTGTCCTGAAAATGCTACACGAGGGACATCCAGGAGTTAACCGAATGAAAGCCCTCGCTCGTCAATATGTCTTCTGGACGAGAATCAACGAGGATATGGAGAAACTCGTCCGTGCGTGCAACGATTGCCAGGAAGCCGCCAAGTCTCCCGTCAAGAAACAGCAGCTCTGTTCTTGGCCTCGTTCGGATGCGCCATGGAGCCGGATCCACATCGACTTTGCCGGCCCAATCGACGGAATGTCGTACCTGGTGATCGTCGACGCATTCTCCAAATAGGCCCGAAGTCATCTCAATGACGTTCTTGTCACCAGCTACAGCCACACTGAAGGGAACTCCGTCGCTTGTTCGCTCAATTCGGATTCCCTCGCATCATCGTCTCAGATAATGGAACTCAGTTCACCGCAGCCGAGTTCCAGGATTTTTGCAAGAAGAAAGGAATCGAGCATATCCGGTCGCCGCCGCCTTTCACCCCAGTCCAGATGGTGTCAAGTTGAGAAGCGCTTCGCTGGACACATTTTAAGGCGCACGCTCAGGAAGCTGAAGAAGCACACGGACCCGACCGACGAAGCTCTCCAGACATTCCTCTTCACATACCGGAATACGCCTTGCACCGCTTCTCCCAACGGAAGGTGTCCCGCAGAAAACTTCCTCGGAAGACGCCTTCGCAACACGCTGGATCTGCTGAAGCCGGACAACAAGGAAGAACCTGTTGCGGACACGAAAATGGAAAAGCAGTTCAATCCGCCACTACGGAGCCAAACCCAGGACGTTTCTACCTGAAGATAAGGTCTACGCTCGCGACTATAGACCCGCACAACCCAGATGGACTCAAGGACGGATCCTATGCCGACGTGGACGCACTCTCTACGACGTTCAAGTTGATGGACTTGTCTGGAGACGCCACGCTAACCAGCTCCGCCCACGCGTATCGACGGAAGCTACGCAAGAGCTGATGAGCGCCTTCGACTTATCATTTGACGCATTCGACTTACCATTCACCGCCACATCGCCCCCACCAACGACGACGACTCGTACGACGCCTCAGTCTTCAATGGTCACTGCCACTCCAACAACAACAACAACAACAACGACGACGACGACTGCAACTACACCACCAGCGCCTACTGCCGTTGCCAGACGAAGATCGAGCCGCACCCGACGCCCTACGGAATTTCTTCAGATTGACCCGTACGCTAAATCGTACGGCCGTCAATCTTAGGGGGGAGGTGTTGGGGACATTGTGATCTCTTGCATGTAGGTATTTGATCTTGTGTTGTACTAAGTCTGCCTGGTTTGACTTGCTCTTTTGACCAGGCAGAGGAGTATATAAACGGGTTATTTTCTATTGGGGATGGTTTTCTACGCGGTTAACGGGTTATTTTGCGAAACGTGGACGTGCGGCAGGCCCTCGTCCACTTTCCAAAATTGGCCTATGCATAATCCCGTACAACATGAAAAAGCGCTCCATGAGTTGAAAGAGCCCTTTGTTAGGTACAAGACAGGGGTCGAACGACAACGAGGCAAGTAAGACTTCAAATATTTTGCACTTTAGCCCTACACTTGTGGTGGCGAATTTCAACCACGCGTTAACATACTTAACTGGCTGTACCATTGCAGAAAAGTGAAGCGCACATTTCACTCGCAAATGAATAGTTTGAGCACAAAGAGAACGTACCTTAATTAGAACTTCTCTAGCTGGTAAAGGTGGTTACAGGTTATCATTTGATTTGTCGTATAGCTTCTGAGCAAATATCGCAAATAACGAAGTGCTTTCCGCAGACGATCTACGGGAGGTAGCTGAAATATGTAAGCATCACCAGTAATACAGTCTGCAAACATCATCTGTCAAGTGGCAAAAAATATCCGTAGCACAAAAGCGAAGTAGTGTTCGCAGCTTGTGATCACGGAGAATCGGGAGATAGGTGATAAAGAGTGAATGCGTCACGTTCAATGGCAGCAAGTAAGTTGTGAGTGCGCAGCCGCACAAACTTAACCTTTTTCGGCAATAACTTGGAGGTCGTAGACTACGACTATAAGGATATACTATGCACTATAAGGATATCTCCGCCGCTTATCAATATTTTTGGGAGACGGCACACACCTACTGATTGCGATGTGGCGCATACGACTTGCCGTGGTCTGAGGCGATGTACAAGTCAATGTTTTTTTTCCTCGCAGACAAGTCTAGCACTCATTTGCCATTCTCGGGGAGAAGAAAGCTTTTACTTTTCGAGAACGGTAATGTCTGAGCGTGAGCCCGTCCCTGATTCGAGCCCCAGACCCCTGGTCAGCTAGCCATTTGCTACTACACCACCTCTGCCTTCACAACGAAACAAGGAAGAAGCCAAGCAGAAACGGGAAAGCAAAAGAGCCTAGGCACCTTCGCTTGGTTAATTTTTGAAATTTAGAGTCAGGAGACCAAAACCCAGTCGTTGGGAGAAACCCTTTCCAAGATGACCGGAGCCCTTTTCCAAGATGACCGCGGAGTCATGAACTTCACATCTGGCATTTTCCTTTTCTTTCCAGGAGGAGAACAAGCTGGCCCACTTATCTCAGTCTGTAGTAAATTCAGTCCTGAAAATTTATCAGATTAGTATCCAATTCCGTGTTACTGTCAGTGACCGGCTAAGCTGTTGCAATAGAGTGCTAACCCGAATTTATGATTTCAAAGATGTATTCTATCCGCCACTGTGCTGTTGCTTCCAAATACGGCTCCATCACGCTTTCATCTACGACTTTCTCGTTCAACAATGACAGCACAGATTGAGTGACACTATCCAAGGATGATGGAGGTAGCATACTTCCGATTAACATCGTAGTACCGATCAGCGATGTGTTCTTCACAAAACATTATTACTCAATTACTGCAAAATTACTAGGAAAACATTCGACTCACTCTAAAACATTGGAATAATTTCTTGAACACTTTAGTTTCTAGGTTGTCGAGTTTCTGTTTTTCGGTAGAATACTTTGTTTCCATGAGTGCCTAAATGATTCATAGTAAAGAAGCTACAATGGCTTACGAAAGTTTCAGATTACCTTTCTCATACTCATCCACATGACAACAACACATTCTAGAAACACTTGATTTCTTTTCCACACTTGGTTGTTTTCATCTGAATCATTGCATTATGATCAATGAATTAGGTATACACTTTCAAAAAGAATTATAAATCGATATTTGGGACTATAGCCTTGTTGCTGCGGATGCTGGGGCGTGTCAGGGGATGGGTTCGGGGCGGCACCAGCCTGCTTCTACACCAAGTGCTAAAGCAGGACACGCGACAATAATTGGTTCAGAACGGGCCGGCAACGCACACCCAGAAACCCAAGCTCTGTTCTTCATACGTTCTAGCATTCGCAGCGAACAAGACTTTACCGATTTCCCAATTTTGAAATCGAGTATGCGTCAGTTACAACTCCAGCGCACAGGGACATAATAGGGATAACGCAAGTGCATCAGAATGGTACAAATGTAGTTCTTGGCATGAGTAAAACTTAATGTTCATTACAGAACAATCTAACATTAGCGCAAACGTGCTATAAAAAAACTCGCCATGTTGAAGAAGGAGCTGCCTTTATTCAGTTTAATTAGTGAATCCAGTAAACAAGTTGGCTCTTCCAAGAAACGCAGCGTTTTTTTTTTCCAAAAGAGGTTTTCACGTTGTAGCACAACAACGTACAGTCCTCATCATTGCGGACCGGTGGGGCGTGTCAGTGCGGCTGCGTTTGGCGCGGTGCCAAAGTCGTTCTGCACCAGTTGTTGAAGCGGGCAAGTGACATTACTGTATTATCCTTCGTATTACTCGTTTTCTACCACTTTTTGTCGCATATACGCGTTTCAACAAAAAGGCTGAGAACGGCTTCAACAGTGTGCACACTCATACTGGCTGACACGCCCCACCGATCCGCAATGATGAGGACTGTACATAACAGTACAGTGTAGTCTCACACTGTAGCTAAAAAATAGCAATCACTGACATTCTCAGATGAAATTCCTCTCTGAAGCAGACCTGGGAATGCCACAAAGGAGTGAAAACAACTGCAAGAAACGACAATTCAACCACCTTATGACAACGGGTACTACCAGTAGCGTTGAATGTTCACACTTACAAAGGTACTCCACTTGTGAGCCCTGCACCCTTCGTAGGGACTGTTCTAATTGTTAAAGGTGAAACTATGGGAATTGATCCTCTTCAGGCATTTTTGAAAATCTATTTCACATGTGTTTCAAATACGCGCAAACATAAGAAGTAATTATTGGAACACAGCATTTTTCAGCGTGAAGAATCAAAATTCGTTTACTCGTCGTCGACATCGTTGAGAACACTCAGCGAGAATTGCTATCACTTTTTTGCTCCATGCAAGGACCTCTACATCCAAAAGACGGTTTTGAAAGTCGTTCCATGGCTTGGAGGACCACCTTGTAAGATCTACACAAAGCATACCTGGCATAGGAATGTCCTGACTAGGTCCGCTGAGGGTGGCAATGGTATCATCTAATCGCATTGAACCATCTATCGTAGCGTCAGCTGACATGCCTTTTGAGAAGCTGCGATACACCACAATGGTCATGAATAGGATGTGCTCCACTGAAATCAAACAATGGGAACAGGACTGCTTCACAATCCTGGAAAGCACTAAACTATTGAAAAATAGCAAGAAGTCCAACGCTCTCACCGGCTTCCTTAACCGTCACAAGCCCCAGTGGAAACAGCAGACGGTGAAAGGTAAGTGCACAGATTCGGCCGTGCTTGATTAGGAAAGCTATACGACGCATCTTTTCACTCTGATCAGCTCGATCTTTGTCGGGGAAAAATGACTGAAAACGTGGACTGAATGTTACAATGAAGTCTAATTGCCAGCTCATTTCAAATACCTTGAAGATCAGAGGAACAATCTCGCGACGCACGCTTTCCGAAGTTTCAACTTGCAGCCGTGCTAAAACTTCTTCCATTGGAACCACGTCGAAGAACTGAAAATGCAAGAAGCCTGTAAAACACCGAGCAAAGGTTATTTGGTCAATTTCATTCGCGGAGCAGCCACCAAACTCAGCCATAGATTTCGGTGCGTTTTTTCGTCTGTCTATAGATCAATTGTTTACGCTGTAACGCCGCTGCATTGAAAGTGAAAACAAGACATACCCTAATATACCGATGTCCTTTAAGCATTTTCAGCATTTCGAAAGCTGCCGCTCTCACTCGCTCATTTTTATCATTGATGCCATTCAGCGTTATACATTTCAGTGCATGTTCAGCCGCATTCAGGCACGCCGGTACACCTATGAGATATCGCATTCCCTAAAATCGGGAACATAATAGA